GAAGCCCGCGGTGGCGAGGGACTGCGGTGCCCCTTGCGGCTGCACGGCCCCCATGTGTTTGCAGCGCGCGAGGCTCGGGAAGCTTCCGATTTCTTTTTCTCAGGGTGACTTGGTCAACTGATTAGCGCCGGACAGAATCAGGTGGAAGCGAGCAGCAGCGCGCAGAAGGGAGTGGAGGCTCCCGGGCTCAGACGTCCGCACCGAGGCCCGGCTGAGTCCCTGCGCGTGGGGATCGCCTTTCCCGGCCGGGCAGGCCGCGCTCCAGCTTCCCCGGACTGGGGGTCCCTAGACAAGGTCTGTGGAGGTCTGGGGACTGCGCTTGAGGTTCCCCGTCCTCGCCGTAACCAGGCAGACTTTTTGTTTTGTTTTAAGCGACTCAATAAAAGTACAAGAAATGGTTAAGCAATTTTTAAAAAGAAAGAAACGTCCTGTGGGAAAATAAGTGGAAAAGGCAGAGGGCGGCTGAGACGGGAAACAGCAGGCTGGTTTTCTTCGTTTGTTTTTTGCCTGTGAAGAGTGAAAAAGCCTCCGGGCAAATGTACAGAAACATGACTACACGGTCTGCTCCGACGAAATTAAATCCAGGGGCCAAACACAGAAAATTCCCATAAAAGGAAGGGAAGACGTGTGTGTGTGTGTGTGTGTGTGTGTGTGTGTGTGTGTGTGTGTGTGAAGCCAGGAAGGGGTGGAGGCCCATGGCTGGGCTCTGATGGACTCGGGATGCCCAGGACATCTGTCCTGGGACACGTGGGGCGACCTTACCATCCGAGTCCAGCCCGATGTCATCTGCTCCCACGATCCTTCCCTGACCCCTCTGCGTTTGGAGAGCCAGTCGTCCCCCACCCCTCCCGAGTGGACTCATCTATGTTATAATTCGTCGTTGCCTCCACTGAGTGGTGACAGGGCTTGCCTCATGCTCTGAGAGGTGGGGAGCTCCCTGGCGGTCGGGGGAAGTCGTACTCATTCCAGCTGACGTAATGGTTGGCCCAGGAGGCCTGAAACCAGCAGGCCCGCAGCACCTAGTATCTGAGATACAAAGTTTCCCATATCTGAGATACAAAGTTTCAAAAGTTTACTCATCCCGAAATGGCAGAGGCTAAAGGGTTAGGGAAAGATCTGAGATGCCTCACTGAGTGGAGCCATAGGCAACAGGCCCACCGGAAGCAGAGTTACTGGGAACAGCTGTGCTGGAGGCTAGGGATTGGGTGAGACCTTTGTATACAGTTTAGTATTCTTGACTCATTACTTTCCTTGTGTACATTTTCTGATGGCACAGATTTCCTATGGTAATGTGCAGTTACACCCATATTTCCTCTAGTGCAAATCTAAAATGTTTGTTTTGTTTTGAGACACGGTCTCACTATGTAGTTGAGACTGACCTGGAACTCACTATGTAGCCCAGGCTGGTCTTGAACTCACAGTGATCCTCCTGCCTCAGCCTCCCGAATGCTGGGATTACAGGCGTGCACCACCACACCCAGTTTAAAATGTTTGATTCAGGGCCAGGCATTTAGCTCAGTAGCACTGGCAGCACCTGCCTCACAAGCACAAGGTCATGAGTTTGATCCCTGTACCAAAAAAAAAAAAAAAAGTTTGATTCAGGATTATACTGAAGTTCCTTAAATAGAAACTTCAGTAATGAAAAATCTAAATAGCTCTGATAAACTGGCTAAAAGCAAAGAAAGAGGCATGGGCGTGTAGCTGTAATTGCCCACTCAGGACGCTGGTGCGGGGGGATCGCTGTGATTTTGAGCCTGGGCTACATAGTGAGATCCTGTCTCAAAAAGAAAACACCACCACTCTGGTGCTGCTGTTCCAATGTAGTGTTGGGCAGAAGCACTCACTGGCCTTTCTAACACTACTGACTGATTCTCTCCCCTACTCTTAGTAGTGGGGATTGAACCCAAGTCCTTCTCACAGAGCTACATCCTTGGTCCTTTTTTATTTTTAATTTCGGGACAGGGTCTTGTCCAGGCAATGCTTGAACTTGCGATCCTCCTGCGTCAGTCTCCTAGAGGACTGGGCTTTTACAGGTCAGCCTCACTGGTCCCATGTATTCTTGATAGCTTTGTGTCTGAAGACCCTTCTCTCCCTTCACGGTGCCATCATTAAGCTGTAACAGAACCCAGGGCAGGGCAGGCAGCAGTGCACACAGCTGGTGCCTGACTCAGGCTTCAGAGTGCTCCAAGCCTCTTTGGGCTCAGCTTTGGAAACTGTTGGCAAAAGACATCCCAGGGCCAGTGCTGGAGGCAGAGCCTGGGCACCTCCTGGTCCTCTCTACTCTGCCCAGCACCCCAGGTTAGACCTGGTTTCTGGACAATGCAGGGCTGTGCTTCTGTCTCCCCAGACCTGCTGGCCTCCCCACACAGGGCCCCTGCAGCTCTGGTCACTTTCTGTAGTGCTGGCCGGACGAGCCAGCCATTTCTTCAGGATTCCCTTCCCTTGGCATCAGTGACCAACCACATTCTTTGTTTTTCTCTCGGCGTCTCCCAGGACTTTTATGTTTCTTGTTAGTTTTCTTCTGTTTATTCTTGGCTGGTTCCAAGGTTATGTTCCCAGCCACCTCTCTGTCACTGTCTCTGCTAAGCACTCTGCACCCCAGCTGCTCCCTCACTGCCTCTCCTCCATCCCAGCAGACTGAGCCCCAACCTGCGTGGCCCATGACTCTCCCAAAGCTCTGAACTGTCTCGCTTCCAGACCACGGTGTGCTGCATTCCTTCATAACACCTCTCCTGCCACAATCTGCAACTCCTACAGATTTTAAAAATCGGATTGTTTTTGGACTGGAACACCGAGTCGCATCCCTGACCTTGTTTTTTAGACTTCATTTTGAGACAAGGTCTCGCTGAGCTCCCAGGCTGGCTGTGACAG